ATACGTCAAAAGATCACAAATCGTATCTAGTTGAAGACATTACCCTTAAAAATTGAAAAAATTTCCCTCGTTCCCCGCAAATGGGTGAAATATCCGAAAAAATTACAAATTTANTGACGGTAAAGGCGGTACATATTGAAATTGTTTCTGACTTGACTACTGAAGCCTTCCTTGCAGCTCTCGACCGCTTTGTGGCACGTCGCGGAATCCCTTTAGACTTATATAGCGATTGTGGCAGCAATTACATTGGGGTAGCCAAACAGTTGAAGTTACTTCTGAATGATGTCAGTATACAAAATGCCATGGTCACCCGAGTTCCGTGCAATTGGCATTTTAATCCCCCCGCCGCTCCTCATATGGGTGGGCTTTGGGAAGCCTCAATTAAAAGTATTAAGTTTCATCTAACACGTGTATTTGGAATGCAAATATTAACATATGAAGAATTAGAAACGTTGGTAATCCGTGTCGAAGGGATTCTTAATTCGCATCCACTCACTTCGGCCTCATCAGATCCTCACGATCTATTAGCATTGACACCAGGTCATTTTTTAATTGGCCAACCTATATTAGCGTTGCCTCAAACTGATGTTACCCATATACCTGTGAACTGATTAATACGCTGGCAGTTAATTCAGCAGATGCATCAATCATTATGGAAGCGATGGACGCGAGAATATGTAACAACACTCCAAAGACGATTTAGTCATCGTCGAAGCCTCCAATCGTCCACCGATTGACTGGTACATGGGAAGAATCTTACATATACCCCTCTGTACTGACAGAATAGTACGGGTAATGAAAGTAAAAACTCAAGACGGTTTATATAAGCGTCCAGTCGTTAAATTAGTCAAGCTGCCAGTAGATGAATGATCACTGTTAAAACTAATTTCTTATTTTAATCCTTGATTCCTCATAATAATGTTTATTTTCATACAGTCCATTAAATTTAAAGGTACACCTCATAAAAAAAAAAAACTAATGTTATGTTTTTTATTTTATTTAATCATTTTTTTGTTATTATTTTTACTTACTCATAATTTTAACATGTATTCTTACGATTTTATTTATTATTATTATTATTTTTTTTTTTTTTTATGTATTATGAATTGTTCTGATTCTTAATTTTGTTTCTATTTATTTTTTATATGTTTTATGTTGTCTAAACACCATCAAAGATTTTAAAAGTTGTATAACTTTCAACTCGGAGAGGAAATGTTGGGTAGAGTGTGACACTCGTGTATGACCGGTTCGAACGTGTTCATGTCACGTCCGGCCGTCGTTACTTCCTCAGCGAGAGTCGCAACTTTTTTTGTACGTAAACAGTACACTCGTCTCGCGCCTCTAGTAATCGGCAGCCGTACAATTAGTAATTTCTCGCCTTATAATCTTTTATTGATTTTCTTCATTATTAGTTTCCGTTCATTATACTTTGCTAATGTCTTCAACTTTCTCAAACCGTCATCAGATAAGTCATTAATTTTTATTATTTTGTAATTGTATCGTATCATAAGATTAATATTGTTTTAGTATGTAAGTTATCCCCCTTTCCCTTTACTTTGTAAGAATTTTATTCGCAGAACTGTAAATATATATTCGTATTTTGTATATACATAAACAGGCGTACCTTTGTACTTACCACCTTTTATTTTCCTTTATTTTTCATTTGTTCGCTACAAAATAAACAACACTACCGCACAGTAACAGGCAATCCCCCCTTTAATATTAAAGGGCTGTTTGTCACAACGTGGTGGTGTCAATTATTAAGGCAGCGTGAGCCGGTTGTGGAAAAAAAAAAGGGTACTACCGACGTACGGCAATATAAGGTACGAACTAGTCAGTAATAATTAGTTAAAGTTTAAAAATAAATAAAAATGTATGATCTATTGCTTTACTCAAATTATTAATTCTAAATAATTGGGTTTATGTGAATTTGCTTACTTCTTTTAGATAGTTTGTGTAATCTTCATCGATTAACAAAATATTTAGTACAAAACTCTTTCTTAGATTGTGCTAATTTACACACAAGAAAAATTCTATAATGTTTCCTTTTTTAATAAATAAATAAAGTTGAAATGCAAAATAATTATATTTCAATATCGTATTAGACTGTACCAACGACAACATGAGGTTTGGTTGGGTTGGTGGGCTAGTTTGAGAAAAATTAACTGACCCCAAAAGAATTCTGAATTCTACATTGAATTTAGAGCTACAAAACTGTGGCTTGATCACCCACGCATGCGCAAGCAGAACTAAGTCTTTTTACATTATTTTAATTATCACCATCTTGGGATATTGTCGTTATCTCTATTAATGATTTTCAGTTTATTGCATTAAATTGATCATAACATGATTATTATTTTAAGATGAAATGCATAGTATACAATTATTATTTAAACAAGTAAATATATATTCGTATTTTGTATATACATAAACAGGCGTACCTATGTACTTACCCCTTTTTATTTTCCTTTATTTTTCATTTGTTCGCTACAAAGTAAACAACACCACCGCACAGTAACAGGCAATCCCCCTTTAATATTAAAGGGCTGTTTGTCACAACATGGTGGTGTCAATTATTAAGGCAGCGTAAGGCAGTTTTCGTATGTAAGTTATCCCTCCTTTCTCTTTACTTTTAAGAATTTCATTTGCAAAACAGTAAATATATTTCTTATTTTATATATATATATACATAAGCAGGTGTACCTATTTTCTTACCCCCTCTTGTTTTCCTTTATTTATCATTTTGTTTGCATCAAAATAAACAACGCTACCACACAGTAACAGGCCATTCCCCTTTAATATTAAGTGGCTGCTTGTTACAGTACATACACTTTATTATAAGTAATATATTTTAATTTTAACTAGAGTAATAATCAATGACATAAAGAAATTATTATTGTGCTATACTACTGTATTACCTACTATACGTTTACTACGTTTGTCTAGATGATGTAATAGAGAAAATGATTTAATAGAAATTAAATGCGTATTCTTCTCGTGACTCGGGTAGTGCTGTAGTAACAGTAGGAAATAAATTAGTAAGTATCAAATTAACTAAGTAATATTTATTTTCAAAAACTATATAAATTTAATTTTCAGTTACAATATTGCAAGATTGAAAATTCTAAATTAGCTTGTAAGCTAAACTCATATAAGATAGCCAAACTTTAGAAGAATCCCGAAGAGAATACACCACGGGCGAGGCACGCCAAAGGTAAAATCTGAGCACAATGGATTTTGTACCTTATCCTAAGGGGAAAAGAATATAAATAAAAGGTATAATTTAAGATAACAATGATTAAAATTTATTAATTATTATGAAATAATTTTATAATTATCATAACAAAATAAAAGTTATTGTAAAATTAAAACATGCTAATAAATAAAATATACAGACTCCAAATTATATAAGAAGAAAATCTATATATAAATTAAATGTCAACATTAATGTTAAACACGTAACGTTACAGAGAAAAAAAAACAATATTCACAATTAACTTAGGGCAAAGGATTCCAAAGGAAATATGAATAGAATGTCTAACATAATATATGTAACACTGGTAAATTCAAACAGATCAAGTTAATAATATTTCTGCCCAATAAATGATGTTTTTACATAAATTCAGCATTTAGCACACAAAACTGTAAAACAGAGAATTGTGATTTATAGTAATGATATACAATTAAATGTCTCCAGACATCCAGGCATGAGGTATTTTTTAATTAGTATAACGATACATGATTAATGTAATTTGTACATATTGCTCAAATAAGCAATATTTAAGTGTTGATTATCNTAATTTGTACATATTGCTCAAATAAGCAATATTTAAGTGTTCATCATCAGAATAAATTTGCAGATATACCAAATGTTAACTGGATAAATAAATTTTAAATATAATTTTACATAATACTCATATGTAATACACTGTTACCTTATACTCATCATAATTTTATTACGTTACAAGCCAGGAGAAGAACATGGGACTTTTACCAAATAATGGCACAATTGCACTCTGTTTTTTTTATAATTTTTAAATTAACAATTTAACAGTTAAAAATAAAAGAACCTTTTTTTTATATTTTCAATGTCCCATTCATGAACATAAGAAGTTTCATTATTTACTTCATCATAAAAAAAGCCTAGATTAGTATACAATGTTTTATTCATATTTTGAATACCTTCTCTTAAGTTAATTTCTATAAATTCATACATTTCAAACGTATTAGGAAAATGATTTTTCTTTGTATACCTCTTAATAAAAAAAAGATGTTTTTGCCTGGTGTGTACGGCCCTAGATTGCCTAATAAAGAACCACCTTTAAGTTCAAACTTTAAACTGCCGGAGAAGAAGCCTGATAAAGCGGCTAGATGCAAAAACTGCAATCGGTATGGTCACTGGTTGATGAACTGCCCGGACAAAAACCCGAAGGAGTCAGGAAACGGGAAGATTTCCGGTCGATCCACGGAAATTCGCCCGGACAGAAAGTGTTAAAACCCGAAAACCGCCGAAAAAAAGAGTCCCAACTCCCGAAGTTCTGCCCAAGAACACATAAAGGGATCGGAGGGACAAACCAAAATGCAGTTTGCTGCAATTGAATCCGAAGAAAAGGATAATTTTCGGGAGAAAACCGAAAAGGGAGAAGTTTCGGAAATACTGTAATGTAGCTCAACGCGTCTTGACCAAGGAACATTAACAGCACATTCCGAACAGAATCCGACCAGGATTCAAATATGTTTTCGGAACCGGAGAAGATCACGGTAGAAACCATGCGTCATTCTAACCCAAACAAGAACGGTAAAAAAGCGACATCAACCGGGACACCAAAAAGTTACAATGTGCCATTACCAGCAATTGAACTGGAGTTCCCTACGGGAATAGTTGTTGCGCCGTTAGACTTTCAAGCCACGAGATCTTACGTTTTATCGTTGGTAGCATGCAAATATGGGAAAATGGTAGAAGAAAAACCACATGTCACTATGGCTGACAACCGGACCGTGCAGGTTCACGAGTACGCTGAATTCACAGCAAGGGTGTCTGAATTTCAGGTGACGTTCAGAGCCGCAGCACTCGGCCACTTGATTGGGGACATCTTCCTAGGACATGATTTTTTAGTGAAACAGGAAGTATCATGGGATTACCAGGCGTGTACTATTTACATGGGTACTGAAAAAGTACAACGGTGTGCTGGAGAAAACACAAATCGAAGAAAGGGACTGTTCATGAGGTAATTGTACCGGAAGGAAAGTCTCTTGAAGAAGTGCGGTCCATTATACGGAAGTACCCTAAAGTTTTCTCCGGAGAAGTCGGAAGAACCCATATCATTGAACATGATATCCGGTTAAACAAAAATACACCGGCTGCCTTAAATGCATACCCATATAATCACGAGAAACAGGACATCATTTCTAATATGGTGCGAGAAATGGAGGAGCAAGGGTTTGTAGAACCAAGTACCTCGCCATGAGCAGCTCCCGTAGTTTTCGCCAGAAAGAAAGATGGCTCTCAGCAGTTATCCGTCGACTACCGAAGACTCAATCTTCGGACTCAATCGACGCACATCCAATGCCCGACTTACATGACATGGTCAGAGGGATGGGTGGCGCTAACGTCTTCAGCACCATTGACCTGATCACCTACTATGGAGGTATCATGACCATGAACTAGCCAGGCATCCAGGTTGGGAAGAAACCTACCGTAGCATCGGTAAGCGTTTCTATTGGACCGGTATTAGAGAATCGGTGAGACAATACGTCGCGAGGTATCACATTTGCGCATGAGTCAAGCCTTTGAATTGGAAACCGCAAGATCCGTTGACACCGAGAAAGCCACGCCAGCCATGGGAGGTCATAAGTATTGATCTTATGGACTGCGCGCGGGAAAACATGTCTACTAGTAGCAACAGACTGCTATAGTAGATGGGTGGAGGCCTATCCACTTGGCCAGGCTACTACCAAGTCAATAACCGATACGTTAGAAAAAGAGTTCTTCTCACGTTTCGGTTATGCTCGAGCGCTCTTGTGTGACAACAGAACGCAATTTGTTTCTAAAGCAATGGAGAAAGCACTGAAGAAGTGGGGAACACAAGGTTGGACGACAACGATCTATCACCCCAATGCAAATTCAGTTGAGCGCCGAAATCAGGACTTGAAAAAAGGATTACGGACTGCGCTGATTGAAAAACACATAGCCAGAGGGACAGTTGCATTTCAAGTATTACAAGGATTTAAAATAGATGCCTTTGTAAAAATTATGACCGTCTGCCGTCTCTAATGCGTTGACGGATGAAAACGCAAAATATATGTACGAAATTAATCGATAAGTATAATACAGATTATAATAATATTATAAACATTATAGTATATATGTTCCAGTGATTACGTCGTCGTCGGCGTCGGCGGTGGTAGTAGTGTTTATTTAAGAATGTGTTTTGCTATAAGAAAACTTGAAAAGTCGTCATTATTATATATTGTCTACAAAAAAAAAAAAAAATATTGCTTTATTATTCACTATACGAATAACGGTCAAGCTTATTAACTCGTATATTAACAATTAATGTAATTAACGGCGACATCGCCGCCGCCGCCACGTTGGGCCATCTGCTGTATCAATCTCAAGTGCTATAGTGTAATCATCAATACAGCCATCTGGCAAACAATGTTTCGAACTAATTTTTTTTTTTACAAATTAGGTAAAATTAACATTTTACGTATGGACTTTATCTAAATTTATGCATGTCGCATATCAAAATAGCGGATTCGACGTTTAAAATTTGTATTTTTAACCGTAAGCGTATAGCTTACCTGGAAAATGCATTTTTTTTTTCGCCAAAAAACCGATATTACGTATATATTATATGGCGAAGCATAATTTAGGCGCGTGACAAGTTGTGTTAGTTTACGTCGTATTTCATCCCCCCCCTATAGGTTTGTTTACCTTTAGTTTCATTACCCCTCTCTCATAAGACTTGGTGGAGGAAGAGAGGTTCTTCTTAGGTTAGTTTACGTTGGGTTTGGTCGTTCCCCCTCCCGTTGCAATATGATAGTTTACGTTTGATTTTACCCCCCTCCACCCCTCATCACCATTTCCACAGTGGTGGAGTGGTTAGGTGAAGCAGAGAGGGCCTAGAAATCCCTTTTTCTCCCTACTAACATTTATTATCAAAATAAAATGTTAAAACAAAATTATTCTAAGGGAGCTCACAATATTCATCTTATAAATTAAAACAAAATTACTTAACACAAAAGTAAACAAAAGAACTTAACACAAAAGAACTTAACACAAAGTTCCATAATAATAAGTTTTCACTATACTTAGTATGGCACATAAATATACTTCACTAACCAAATAAAGTAATATTCACTCAGTCAATCAGGACAATGGGAAATAATATGAAAATAATAATGAAAAATATGAATAATGTACGTTAATGTTTGAGTGAACACGTAAATACTCGAGAACTCAATTACAAAAACTTGATGAAGACATCGAACAAAAAAAAAAAAACAAATATACCCTTTATGCTTATATACATTTTTTCTATTTTTCGATTGTATTAAAATAATGAATACAGTATCCTAGATTATAACTATTAATATTTAACCATACTATTCTAAAAGTATATATATATATATTAGTAAATTGCACTATCATTTACATTATTCACTTTCATTAATTTGCACAATTATGCACATGCTTTTATTATTAAGCAGCATGAGGACATGTCACAGAAAAAACATAGGTTTTCCAATTTCCCACTAAATTCTCATACAAATTGATTGGACAATCGATTTTTCGTAACTTTCGTGTCCTTCCCTGAACTTTGCGTTCAAAGTTGGAAAAAATTTCGCTTTAGTGTGACCCATCAATTTGTATTAAAATTTTACTGGGAGACCTGTGATGTAGTTTATTTTTAGTTTAAACGATTATATAATGACAAAAAATCGAAAAACCTACAGATAAAGTGATATTTTTTTAATTTCACGAGTTAATTTCGTCGTTTATTATTTATTCAAACCGATTATAATTTTAATCACTAAAACTGTTATGAAATTATAATTTTTTTTTTTAGCTCGGGAAAATAAAATAATCATAAGATTATAATGAATATTTTAAACTTAAAATAAGCAAAACTTGGTCACACATCATACACCAAACAAAAAGAAAATCAACTAACAACACTGAAAACAGTTTAATACAAAAAAAAGTTACTATCAACGTAATGTAAAACTGTCGGTGCAGAAAAGGAAGACAAAAGTTCCAAAAATGTCAAAAA